AGCATGACTGAATTTATATTTAACGTGATCACAGTTTAATAAAAACATTGTAAGTTACTATTTCATTATTTTGTTTAAATTCCATGGTTATTCAAACAGCAAATAAAGTATTGATGTTTTATTAACAAGGTTCAGGAGGAGCAAGTTCAGATAATCAATCAATTCAGCACAGGTGGAGCTCATCTAGATAATCAGCTTAACTTGCAATATAATATATATATATATATATATATATATATATATATATATATACATTAATGAGGAAAAAAAATTAACTTAAATGATTTTAGCAAATGGCTGCAATATAACAAAGAGTGAAAAATTTAAGGGGGTCTGAATACTTTCCGTACCCACTGTATATATATATATATATACACAGCCAACTCACCTCTGTCCCACGACAGTTTTCCGGCATCCCTCCTCCACCCAAACTCCTCACTCTTAACTATTCTCATCCCAGACCAGGGATGGGGGGTTCTCTGGGTTCAGGCTATATTCTGAGCTCGGAGTCCTCCCTTAGGACAGCATGCAAAATATGCTTACTACTTGCTCAATCCAATTATATGTAAGTGCGAACTCGTGAATATACTGAAAGCGAGCAAAGAATTTACATTATCACATTATCACTGACTATAGTCTAGCATGAGTTTAAGCACTTTCAAACAACTCACATTAAAATCACTGAAGCTGTGAAATTAATCTCTTACTTACATCGTATGTACATCTGCACTTTGTTTATGATGAGAAAATTCACAAGAGAGTAGAATTCAGTCAACAAGCGCGCGCACTGAACAAAACTCCAGCGTTTCAGTAATGGCTCATCTGAACGCTCCTGATTGGCCATTGCATTCATAAACTGAACAGAATCTCGTTTGATTGGTTATAATGCACAGCATTCGCAGGGAAAATGTTTCTCAGCCTCAGGTCAGTCAGAGCCGTACACCTGCAGGCGCCACTGAATGTATCTCTGAAGGGAACTGATTGTCTTCAGAAAGGTTTAGATGGCATTTTCTTTTTCTTTTATCTTCGTGTACATAAGCACAGCACTGTTTTGTTTACAGCGGTAACCAAGGAAACGCTGTATTGCGGCTGTTCCATAAGCGCCACCTGCTGTCAGAGAGTGAATTTGCATTTTCTTTAAGTCCGTCTGAGGTTTTTGTTTTGTGCAGGTGTCTAATGTAGCATAATTTCACGTATCTAAATCAGACCATTCTGTTTTTGCCTTTAATCTTGAAATTATACATTCTAATTCATATCAAAAACAACTGTTCATGCTGTGTAGCATCTTTATTTGGATCATAATTAAAATTGTTACGCAAAGGTAAAAGAGCAGGCAGGGAAGTGGATCTAAGCACAGAAATACATTAATAAACGAAAAGGGAAACACTAGAAACAAGCGATAGCATACAACGACTGACCAACCACGAGTGAAACACAAGCACTATTTATACACAAGGGAAACCAGCTAAACAAGATAACAAGGGGGCGTGGTAAATGAGAAACACCAGGGGAACCTAATCAACAAGGAAAAATACTAAGAACTACAAAACATGGCACAAGACTGGACATAACATAAAAGTCCACCAACACATAGGGAATACATGTAACAAAAATGCAGTGGCTGCCTCTAATTGCTTGCTTTCAAATGGCTATGGATATTTTTGTTTTTGCTCTATAACAGGCAAGCTAGTTTGCCTGTTATAGAGCAAATAAACAACAAATAAATTTACTTTAAAAAAAAAATGGTGATCAGTAATGGAATTGGCCAATTTGCTTGAAAAAAAAACCCCGGAATTATGAAAATCATGATCCAAGATTGGTGCATCACTAAGAAAGAAAGAAAGAAAAAGAAAAAGATACATATATATGTATGTAATCTAAGTTTGGTCTTAAATTTCATATAAGGTGGTATTAAAAATGTCTTAAAAGTCTTAAATTTAACTGGTTTATATCTGTAGACACCCTGATAATGAAGTCATGTTAAAATATATTAAATATTAAAATAAATATTATAATAACAAATATATGAAAATTATTTAGTAACAAATTTAGATAAATCTGTTTTAGGAAATGTTTATTGCTATATTTTGTTATATTTCTGCATTTGAATTATTAAAAGCGGGGTAGGTGATTTAATTTTGTTATGCTGGTTGAAAGTCTCTTCACATCCTGATAGAAATCACTAAGTTAAGTGGTCTAAATGTATTTATATGTATTTATATCGTCTGTGGAAGGTGTAGGACCATAAATGTTCGTC